GTTTGAGGAACCTCCAAACAGTTTTCCATAGTGGTTGTACTAGTTTGCATTCCCACCAGCAGTTCAGGAGAGTTCCTTTTTCTCCACATCCTTGCCAGCATTTGTTGTTGCTAGTTGTTTTAAGATGTGCCATTCTCACTGGGGTGAGGTGGTATCTCATTGTGGTTTTAATTTGTATTTCCCTTATTATAAGTGATGTTGAACATTTTTTCATCTCTTGTTGGCCATCTGCATTTCCTCTTTGGAGAAGTGTCTTTTTAGCTTTCTGCCCATTTTATGATGAGGTTGTTTTTGTTGAGTTTCATCAGTTCTTTGTATATCTTTGTGATCAATCTTTTATCACTAGTTATATGTGAGAAAATTTTTTACCAATCAGTGGGATGTTTGTTTTTTGTTTTTTTGTTTTTTGTAATATCTTTTGCTGTACAGAAGCTCTTTAACTTGATAAAGTCCCATCTATTTAACCTTGCCTTCACTATCATTGTATTGGGTGCTGTATCTTCAAAGCGTATATGTTGTGTAGTGTTTCACCCATCTTTGCTTTCAGGTATTTTATGGTTTCCATTCTTATAGCTATTCTTTAATCCACTTTGAGTTGATTTTTGTGTATGATGTGATGTAGTAATCTAGTTTCATTTTTTTTTTTTTGCATGTAGCTTCCCAGTTGTCCCACGCCATTTGCTGAACAAACTTTCTTTGTTCTATTGTATCTTCTTTGCTCCTTTGTGAAAGATTAGCTGCCTATAAAACTGTGGGTTTATATCTGGGTTTTCTGTTTGAATCCACTGGTCTATGTGTCTGTTCTTGCTTCAGTACCATGCAGTTTTATTATTAGGGCTTTGTAGTATAGCTTGAAGTTTGGGACTGTAATGCCTCCATTCTCTTCTTAGTCATGAGAGTTTGGCTATTCGAGGTCTTTTGTGGTTCCGTATGAATCTCATCAATATTTTTTCTATTTCTTTGAAGAATGCTATTGAGACTTTTATTGGGATGGTGTTAAATCTGTATCACTTTTGGTAGGATGGCCATTTTGATTATGTTAATTCTCCTGATCCATGAGCAGGGGATGTCTTTCATGTCTTTCCATTTCATGGTGTCTTCCTGAGATTTTTTTGCCTATGTGTACATGAGGAGTATTGGTTTTATGTAGGCTTCTGCTTGTCAAGTATATGCATTAGTTATAGGCTAGTCCAAGTCGAGGGCAGTTGTGTAAATCTTTTTTTTTTTTAAAGATTTATTTATTCATACAGAACTGGGGTACAGGCCAGAGATGCGGAGGGCGAGAAGATTCACCAGGGACAGAGTGGGGAGCAGAACAGTCAGATCGATGAAGTACACTGCTGAGGAGAGCAGCGGGCGGGTCAGGAGAGGTCTGCCATACCATGTGGATTTCCTCTGGGGCAGGCGGGGATCAAACTTATGAGGAAGTGGCTTAAGCTTTTTAGTGCAGTGCTTTAACCTGCTGTACCAACAGGGAGGGCCCCAGTTGTATAAATCTTAGTTCCATTTTCAAGCTATGATATGCTTTGCTACTATGGCTTGTCCTTAATTATGCAATTTGGAATTCTGCTTGGGAGTTAGACCTTGATGTTAGGCAGATTTACAAAAGGAAGTAGGGAACACCATGCCAGCTTGTTAGACGGTTATTTTCCCTTTACTCTCCAGCTTGCAATAGCCCTTTTCCTAGTTTTCTGGTCAGAATTTCCTCAAGTTTAACTTCCTTTTGCACCTTTACAACTACTGTTGGGAGAACAGAAAGAAACAATATAGGGTTCCTCTTGTTACTCTTTGGCCCTCAGAAGTCTCCCCACTTTCTTTCCAGCTAAAAAGATGGGAGTTGTGTATAGAGTCATAGCCAGTAGTTGCTGATGCCAACTTCATGACTAGAGTTACATAATTAAGGCAGTATTGCAAGAGAAAAGACCAGGGAGGAGAGGAATGGAAAGGATGGTAAGTTCACTGTGAATAGGTAGCATCTCCATTTATTACTTCTTTCATGATATGCTGATTTTTACTTGCTCTTCTACATAGTTTTGTTGTATTTTGTTCATTTTTTAGTTGCCATTAGTGGAATTGACCATATTAAACAGTATCACATCTTAGCTGGAACTGACAGACTATAATAATTTTTTTTTAAAGATTTATGTATTTATGCATATAGAACTGGTGTACAGGCCAGAGGTGCAGGGACAGTGAGAGGATCCACCAGAGACAGAGTGGGGAGCAGAACAGGCCAACTGACAGACGTATACTGCTGAGGGGAGCAGCGGCCGTGTCAGGAGAGGTCTGCTGCACCAGGTGGATCACCTCTTGGGCAGGGATCAAACTCATGCTGAAGTGACTTTAGCTTCTTAGTGCTGTGCTTTAACCTGCTGCACCACCAGGGAGGTCCCGAATATAATAAATTTTTAATTTTATCTTAAAGGTAGTGAGAACTAAACAGTTGCTGTTTCCACTATACTTTAAAACCCAGTATTTTTACTGCATGTGTGTGTGTCTATACACTTTAGACATTTTTTTTTTTTTATAGGGGAAAAGAGGTATTGGCACACAGAAAACAAGAAGTAAGTATTTTGATATCCTTGAATGTGTTTCTGTTACTCCTAGAAAATAAAGAAAATCATTTTTAAATTGTGAAACTGTTCTTTAAATGATGTATTCAGTAATCTTCACTCTTTTCTGAACATGGATTTCATGGTTGTCTGGTGAAACCTATGGACCCTTTTCCTAACATGCAGTTCATGGTTTTCTGGTGAAAACTATGGACCCTTTTCCAGATTATTATTTTTTTTAAAAAAATTAAAAATAAATATTGTATTACTAAAAAAAATCAATTGTTAAAATTCATTTAACAGCATGTTTTTAATTATGTGATAGTGTTCAGCTTTTATTACATATTAAAAATGAATTTTAGCAGCGATTCTTATTGGTACTATAATTTTGAAATGATGAGCATTAAGTGCTGCTTTGAGTTTAACTAGATAAATTAATAGGTGAAAATATGTTTCTATTAGTTTCAAAATTACAGGTGTTGCTAATATTACTGTGATCCTGTTGCTTAAATGTATTGTTAGTTTTTAGTTAGAAGTTGGCGAAAACAAATGTTGAATGTTATTCCTACTTGAACTCAAGATCTTCCTGAGTTCTATTCATATATTCTTTGGGAGATCCATTCAATTTAAGAATGTATGAAAATAAACAAATCTTCTGTTATTTTGAAAATGGGGTGATATTTTAAAATACCTCATCTCAGTCTTAAAACTTCAAAGTAACATGAATAACGAATAATGAATGAGGAATGGAAATGAATAATGGAAACAGTTGTAGTTCTTTGTTTTTCTGTGTTAATTTTGCTATTTTTAAAAAAGGTAAATTTGTAAGTTGCTAATGTATTTTGTATGTTCTCAAGCAGGGAGACTCAAAAAGCCTTTTGTAAAGGTGGAAGATAAAAGCCAGTAAGTATCAATCTGTGTGATTTTAGATACAATATATAATTTTTTTTTTTAAAGATTTATTTTATTTGTACATACAGAACTGGGGTACAGGCCAGAGGCTCAGGGGTGGCGAGAGGCTTCACCAGAGACAGAGTGGGGAGCAGAACAGGCAGATCAACGAAGTACACTGCAGAGGGGAGCAGCGGGCGGGTCAGGAGAGGTCTGCCACGCCATGTGGTCACCTCCCGGGCAGGCGGGAATCGAACTCATGCGGAAGTGGCTTTAGCTTTTCAGTGTAGTGCTTTAACCCGCTGCGCCACCAGGGAGGGCCACAATATATAATTTTAACTACACCAACTATATTAATACTGTCTCATCCTTATATGTTAGATATATAGTCTAAAAATACATATATTTGTGTTGTGTATATACATATATACAAATATATAATATATGTACATTATATATGTATATAAAATATATATGTGTGCATATTTTATAGAAACATTAATGAATTTGCACTTGAGTACTGAATTTAGTTTTAGTATGTTGTAGATAATTCGTTACAATATTTAGTTTAGATCTGTTATAAGACCAAATAATTTATTTAGTATTTTCAAATAACCACTCTCTGGCTAAGAGCAATACCATATGATTTAGAATTATTGCTTAAAGATTGCCCTGCATTTGTGAAATGAAATTACTAGATTCTACTTGGAATAGAAAATGTGAGCTTTAACACCTAATTTTGTAATTTTTCTAAACTCTGAAATTTAATAGGATAATCTTAATGAATTCTATGGATACAACAGATGTGAAGTTTATATGGCATGGATGAATTAGGTTACTTTTTATTCACTTTTCAGTTATTCATCAGTATGTGTGATTAGTTATCTTGGATACTCACTGAGGTCATGAAGATATGCTGAATGTTTCTTTTTATGAACTGTATACTGGGGTGGGTGTGGGAGAAGGAGGAAATGTAATTCAAAATTAGGCCTATAGAAAACACTAGTAAATGGAAAACATCCCACATTCATAGAATCGAAGACTTCATGTTGTTAAGATGTGTTACTATCCTGAGTGATCTACAAAGTCAATGAGAGTCCTATCAAAATCCCAACAACTTTTTTTTTGCAGAGAAAAAATATTCATCCTAAAATTCATAAGAAATTTTAAGGGGACCTTGAATACCCAAAAACAATCTTGAAAAGGATAAACAAAATTGGAGACCACACATTTCCTAATTTCAAAACTTACTACAAAGGTATAGGAATAAAACAAATTAATAATGATATAGACAGATGTATAGACAAATGGACTAGAATAAAAATCCCAGAAATCTTTACATGTGTGGTCATATCATTGCCAATAAACATGAAAAAATGAAAGAACTACCACCTCATATACATTAGAATGACTATTAACAAAGAAAAAAGAAAGAACAAATGTTGACTAGGGTGTGGGGAATTTGGAATTTTTGTGCACTTTTGGTAGAACTATAAAATGGTGCAGCTACTAGGTAAAATGTGGATGTTTCTCACAATAGCTGAAATAGGATATGATCCAACAGTTCCACTTTGGCTGTATATCTTGATGTATTGAAAGTAGAGTCTTTAAATTGTACTTGAATAAAAATAATTGTAGCTTTCCTCACAATAGCCACAAGGCAAAAACAACCCAAATGTCCATCAACAGATAAAGGGATAATGCCCCTATATGCTTAAAATGATATATATTTTTATATTTTAAACTAAAAAAAAATGGAATTCTGACAGCTGCTGGAATTGGATGAACCTTGAAGATATTATGCTAAGAAATAAAAGGAAAAGTATTGCATGATTCCATTTAACAAAGTACTTAAAGTAGTCAGTTTCACAGGGACAAAATGTAGAATGGTGGTTATCAGGGATGGGACAGGGAGGGAGAATGTGGAGTTATTGTTTAAGGAATCTAGAATTTTGGTCTGACAAGATGAAAAGAGTTTTTGGCAGTATTTATAAATACTGTGAATGTCCTTAATGCTACTAAAATGTACATGTAAATGACTAAAATACCAGTGGGACCTCCAGACAAATGGTTAAGATAGTAAGTTTTATTATTTAACTAAAATTATTTTTTAATGTTAAAATAGAGAATATTTCTAGAAATTAGGAAAAAATGCCTGACTGATGTCTACTGCTTATTTCTGATTCTAGTTGAATTATGCAATTCTGAAACTTACAAGACTTCAAGTATGTTTTCTATCATCAAAGAATTTCATGTTTTTTTTTTTCTTCTAGACTATATAGGCCATTTTATCTTCAGCTGACCAATATGCCTCTCATAAATTACTCTATTCAGAAGCCCACCAGTCCATTTGATGTGGATAAATCATCTAGTTCCCAAAAGCAAACTCAGGTTAATCTAAGGTTGGTTTAATCTGAGCAATTGTTTTGTATTTTCAAACATTTCAAATAATTCATTTAATCCCATGGTTTGTGTGTGTTTATTGGCAAGATACTATTATGTTCTCCTCCTCCCCCCCCCCCCCCCCATGGTCTCCCTGTCCATTCATACATTTCTAGTGTTCCTTTCCAGCTTTGGAGTCTGAATCTCTCTGAAGTGTGTCATCAAATGTAGGTGCTTTAGATAGATGGGGAGATCAGCACATTAGATAGATGGGGAATGTTTAAAAATATTTTCCAATGATTGAAATGTGTTGTATTTCTTAAGTATATTCTGAACTGTCCTCCAACATATTACATTTTTCATTTGCATCTCAAATTCTTGAAAAGAAATGGCTAAAAAGTATTTGCTGACACAAATTTCTTTGCAAATTATGTCAGTACATGAAAAGAACTATAAATTTAAAAATTATTCTATATGTTCTGCAGTTAATTCTTTTATCATGCATTTCTATCAGAATCCAAGCAGATGGCGATAAATGTGGTAGGAATCCAGCTCAACTCCAACTGAAAGAAAAGAAAAAAAAAGGATATTGTGAATGCTGCTTACAGAAATATGAAGATCTTGAAACTGTAAGTGTAATATTATATTTAGAGAATTGATAGCTCTAAAACTATTTTCTGTATAAATTTTAGCTTATTCTTCTGATTTTGGTTCATAATGTGATAATTTTAAAGTAGTATGTATTGGGTTTTGATAGAATCTTATATTTTAAGATTTCCCAGTTGAGAAATGTATATTGAAAGGTCATTTTTATTCATTTATTTAATAAATAATGAGCACCTACTACATACCAACAGTGCTGTGAATGAGCAGCAGAACAAAAGGAATTAATTCTTTGTTTCTGAAGATTACATTCTAGAAAATAAAAGGTATGTGTAAACTACAAGAGAGGAGAATAGTGATTATGTGTGTAGAGAACATTAGATCGATAGTGTGAGGAAAAAAGCCAGAATGGAGATGTTGCTATTTAGACTAGAGAAAATATGTTCTGATAAGATGATTTTTCTGTAGACACATGAGAGAAAAGGGATAGTACTGGATATTGAAATAAGGAATACAAATGTGCTAAATTAAAGCAAAGAACGGTGACCAAGACTACTAAGTAGTGATAGGAGTGATGAGACATGGTCAGATTGTGGATATAATTTTTTTTTAATATTTATTTATACATAAAAAACTGGGGTACAGGCCAAAGGTGCGGGGGATGAAAGGATTCACTAGAGACAGAGTGGGGAACAGAACATATACATTACTAACATCTTCAGACTGTAAAGTGAAGTTTATTTTATAATTTCATACAATTAGCTTAAAATTGTTTTTGTTAGAAGCTGAACTATCACAGAACTACTACCCTTTACCAAAAATCTTTTTGAAAATTTGTAAGATTGGTGTTTAAATTTATTTTGCTTTTGTTTCAGATAGAATAATCTAGATTGGATGCTCTCCTTAATATCAGTTTGTGATCCTAATTCGATGCTTATAAGAGGCAAGGCTAAAAACCTTGCCTCTGATTGTCACAAGTAAAGTGATATCTGAGTTAACTTTTAAAGTTTTTCCTTTTTTTTTTTTTTTTTACTGATTTTCATGTATATGTTTCTTTTTCTCTAAGAATAAAGAAACTATGTTTTATAGTACAAATACACTGACAACTACATTTAACAAATGTGATTATTGGAGTTTCAGAGAAATAAAAAAGGAAACATTCCCTTAACCTAGTTTTATACATGTTGTAGGTGTAATGGTTTGGCAGAGATACATATTAACCATGCACTTGCAAGTGTGATGACTATCACAAAAGTATAGAGTCCAATAGTCAAAAAAAAAAGTGTATTTAATGTAGAACAAGGAACCTAAGTTCAATTGAGAAAGTGACATATAAGACTCAACAGATGTGTATTGGTTTTTATTTTAGTAAATTATTTTTTCTTCTAAGAACATGAATGAATTGAATATGAATGATCTAACAGAGAAAGGATAAACTTTAATAATTTCTCATTTGTTTAACATTACTAGACATATCTGTATCAGTGGGTTTTTTGGTGAACAGTGGAGAATATTGACATTGGAAATGCAATCAAATTATCAGAAGTCAAAATTATATGAAATTAGGGAAACAAAAGCAAGGTCCTCTCATGATCATTAGATACAATTCCCTGATAAGCTGAGAAATGATAGACATTGCTTGGAGATTACACCTATTCAAAAGCAATTTCTTTCCCTGTGAGTTGTATCTTAGTACTCTAAACTTGTTTACATCTGTTCTTCTCCTCATGAGATTGATTTCTCTACATACTGGTGTAAAGACTGAGGAATTGAAATAATTAATTTACTTATTCTTAAATATGTTCATCTGTACATTTTTATACTTTGCAATATTCATTGTGGTTTATTTGTTTAATCTGCCTGCTAAATTCTCGTGTGTTAAATAGTAACATCGGTTCACTTAGTATTATATAAGCCCTGATTCCTTACTTAGCAGTAATTGTATATAGTTAAGACTAACTAGTGGAGGTAAAATGTTTAAAACAACAAGCATACACTAAACTTTACATATTTTTGTTTTTCACATTTTTTCTTCTTTCTGATGTAGTATAGCTCATTTATTTTCATTTCCATTGAAACTACAAATTACTATTTGAATTTTCTCATTGAAAAATGAAAAACAGCAGCTCCAGGGGTATAATCAGCAAGAAAAATGGAAGGCTAGGAAAACCAAAGTAGTTTTTTTTTTTTTTTAAAGATTTATTTATTTGTACATACAGACCTGGGGTACAGGCCAGAGGCTCAGGGGGCGGTGAGAGGCTTCACCAGAGACAGAATGGGGAGCAGAACAGGCAGATCTATGAAGTACACTGCTGAGGGGAGCGGTGGGCGTGTCAGGAGAGGTCTGCCACGCCATGTGGTCTCCTCCCGGGCAGGCAGGAATCGAACTCATGCGGAAGCGGCTTTAGCTTCTCAGTGCAGTGCTTTAACCCGCTGCGCCACCAGGGAGGGCCAAAACCAAAGTAGTTTTAATGGTTTCTTAAAAGTTACTTTTATTTTACTTACCATCCTTTAAAGTTCTAGTAAAGAACAAAAATAGTTTTTTTAGTGGCATGACAGTGCTTAGAAAGCCTAAATAAAAAGTATCTGTTGGATTAAATAGGTAATATTATGATTTGTGTGCTTTTTTGTTTTGTTTTGTTTTAGCATCTTCTAAGTCAACAACACAGAAACTTTGCACAAAGTAATCGCTATCAAATTGTTGATGATATTGTATCTAAGTTAGTGTTTGACTTTATGGAATATGAAAGGGACATTCCTAAAAAGAAAAGGTAATTTATTATTAGTTTTGTCACTTATTAGAATATTTAAACTATTTCATTAAAAATAATACTGAATTTTTTTGTTCTTAGAAGAGTATGTGTTTTCTGAGTATAAATAGGATTTAGAACTGATTATCTCATTTCCTACCACTTCTCCCACTGCCAAAATTATCTATCTGAGATTACTTTTAAAGTATTATAACATTATAGTCTAGAAAATAGTTGGCAAACCTTTTTTATAAAAAACCAGAAAGTACATACGTTTTAGGATTTGTGAAGCATAAGATCTCTGTCCAGGTAATCAGTTCTCCCATTATACAATGAGAGACAAACTCAGCAGTTTATTCATTGCTTCTATCTGTTTTTAGATTAATGATAAGGCATAAAGAAGCTATGATACCAAGCTACTGTTTCAGAAAATTGACTACAAAGTTTTGTTTGTTTGTTTGTTTGTTTTTGCTGTGCCTAAATAGACTATTTCTAAACCTTGTATTTCTATAATATTCAGAATGGTTATTTAAGTTTGTTAAGTAGCTTAAGATATTTTTACTAATTTTTAGGGAATTTTTGATAGCAATAATTTAACTTTTCTTTTCCCTATGAAGAATAAAATACAGTGTTGGATCCCTTTCTCCTGTTACTTCAAATCTCCTCAAAAAGACTGAATCCAAAGAAATGCTAGAAGTGCAACATATTTCTCAGAAAGACTTAAAGGAAAATAATGTACAGTTGATCACGGAGCAGAGTTCCCAAAATAAAGAAACTCAGAAACCTGAAGAAAAGTTAGTGTTTATTTCAGAATCCACCTCCTGTCATTTAACAGCTAATAAGTGTTCCATGTTAAGTCCAGCTGAAGATAACAAAAACGAAATTTTTACACATCTACCTCCACATAAGAGTAAACAGGAATGGGTCCTTGACATTCCTGAACATAAATTAATTATAAGTGAAAATAACTTAGAAGAACTAAGGGTAGACTGCTGTCCATGTAGACTACCGACATCTGTAAATGTTTCTAATTTCAATACAGATAATAGTGTATCGCAACTGAAACAAAAGTCAGATAATATATTTATTCCAGCAAAGGATCTAAAGGAAAAGGACCATCATTCAGTATGTGGACATGATTCTCATCTCTTGGCAATAAACAGTTCTCAGGAACATCTACTAACTCAGGCAGCAACTCCATCTCAGAGTCCTCCTGAGGAACCCAATGAATGTGACATCAAGAATATGGATAGTTTACCTTTTGGTAAAATCCATCGGAAAGTGAAAATACTATTAGGACGAAATAAAAAAGAAAATCTGGAACCAAATGTGGAATTGGATAAGAAAAGAACTGAATTTCTTATTACACAAGAAGAAAGCAGAATTTGTAGTTCATCAGTACAATCGCTACTGGATTTATTTCAGACTAGTGAAGAGAAATCAGAATTTTTGGGTTTCACAAGCTACACTGAAAACAGTGACTTATGTGGTGCTTTAGATACCTGGGAAGAGGAAAATTCAAATAATCTGTTATCAGTGTTTTTTTCTTCACCTTCAACATCTACATTTACTGGCTTTTAAACTTAACCTTTAAGAAGTGCTGAAGATCATATTCATGAAACTTTTACAAACATAAAATTCATTTTTTTGCCAACATTGTTTACAGAGCCAAATGTGAATATTAGTAATAAAGGTGGTTTTGCATTTTTCTACAGAATTAAATACTCAAAACAGTATAGAATAAACTTGTGACTCATGTTATTTTACATACTATGTTAATTGTTTTCAGTAATGTTTGCATGTCACTGAAAATTTCAAATGAAATTTTGAGACTATTTACAATTATAAATTTGGATATATTAGTTATATCTGTTGTCTGTTTAAAATAAAATCTCACGATGACATGACCATATTGCTTTTTAAAACTTAAATTTTATGCAGACAGGGAAGAATATTAATTTTTGTGTTTGTAGTCTAGAAGTCAGTATTACTAGGAACGTGATATCTGAGGATGACCTAGTTGGAACATACTCATGTATTGGCATGAGGAGTAAGATTATTTCTAGGCATACATACAAGTTATGAAGAAAAAGTCAGGTTACAAGAATAAATAATTTATCCACTGTTCTTATTTACCTTTGGAAATTTTTACCAAAAATGTATGTTTACTCCCTAACTAGGTATCAGGGGGAAAAAGAAGAGGAATGATATTGAACTATAGATAAAAAGTTTTGACCTGGGAATTGTCTGATTGCTACTTGGCTATTCAATAATATAGTAAAGAGAAAATTCAAATATAAGCAAAATTTCAGCTCTTAGCTATAAATAGTAGTGGCATCTGCCTTTGAATGTGAATTACAGAAATGAGGTATTTACTAAACCAATGGTTTCTTTTGCAAAAATTGGTGCTATAGAATATATAAATATATTGTCAGCAAAAATAACTTGATTACTAATATTTTTGAAGTTTTTTATGGTTCCCAATATATTAGTTAATATGCTTTAATTTATATTATGTTTTGACCATTCAGGCAAATCAGAAATAACTGGTTTTCCAACAATTTTATTCATGCCAGTACCTTGAATTATTGAAAATACCTTTACAGTTAATTTATGCAAACTTTGTTTCCATTACAAATTACTACTGCATTTTCTGTCACAAATCCATGTTTATATGTGAGTTTGTCAGGTCTTATAAATGACTCTCTAAAAACTTACTTTGAAACTTGGAGAATAACTTGAGAAGGTTTGTGTTGTTCTGTGTGACCTGTATTTCCCGCCAGTTTTCCAAATAATTAAAAAGATTGCTCTACAATCCTTTGACTTTGGAGTAACAGTCTCTTATAACACTGGACTTTTAAAATATCCTCCCCCAAACCTACATGAAAAATCTTAAATTTCAAATTTATGTGGAACAATAATTTGTAGCAAGACCACCACATAGATTTTGTGTGAGGTATTCTATTCAGATGGCTACCCAGTCAGAGAGAGAGACTGATAGAAATCCTACTTATAGGCATTGCAGCTCCTAATTTTTATCAATACCAACGCATGAACACCTGGCAGGGGTGTCCTTCCCTTGGGGTTGAGTCCATGCAAGGATATAATCTTTTATATAGCAAGGTGACTTCAAAAGTTTGGCTTTTCAAAGTTGCTCAGCAAAGTAGATAATTGGTTTACTTTCTCAGTGTCAACGAATCTACAAGAATTTAAGATGAATTATTTAATACCAAGAGCACTGATGTTGAAAGACACCCTAATTAACTTTTAGAGCAACAGTACCCTAAAATGTCTTCCAAAAAAGCTTCCTTTATCTTGTCTTTGCACTTTCAAGCAGTATAAAAATTGACAATTACCCACAAACATGAAGTACCTTGGTGACCTCAAATAACTCATCACAGGTTTGGTTCTTACAAGAAGTATATTGATGCATGCCATATGTTTTATAAGAAGTGTATGTGGCCATCAGTTGATCTTACAGGGAGCTTTTCAGAGCTGCAAGGTGAAGGTGATGGTAAGTCATTGCGTATTGACTACTCTTGGAAGAGCAGTGTGGGTGACGAGTTTCTGCAGCTGAAAATTTCTGAAGGAATGCACCACCAAAATCTACTTACTGTCAGTATTTCCAGCAACCGGGGCACTTGTTCTTTATTAAAGGGGAATCAAGATCAGTTACTTCAGCCAGGATTTGACTCCTTGCCTACTGGATTCTTGACACAAGGAATTCAAAGTGTGTTAGTGATAGTTGAATAGAAGTTGCTCAGATGTGAAGCACAACTTCCAAGATGAATGTTAAGCAAGGCTTATTTCTATTTCTAACCACTGGTTCCCAGACCTATGTTTTAGTTTTTCAGAGACACAAAGCACATTTTGAACTCATCCTGCATCCAGGAGGATACCTCATCCTCAAAAATGTTACCTCTAAGCTACTAATACAGCTGTGTTTTTAAAGGTCATTTCAACACTCATTCAGTTAGTTTCTGGGTGATTATGAAGGCAATAAAACCAATAGATTACTATTTTGATCGTGGGCCCATTCCCATACCTTTGCAAGCCCTCTATAAACCCCCCAAACTAATGATATGAAGAAATTACTCAAGCCTAGAATATATCTCTAAGCATGCCAAGTATAATCTTTATCATTAAGTGCCTGGCTGGTTTTCTCAAGGGATTGTGCTATGTCAGGTATTCAGTGTCTTCTATTTTTAGTAGACTGGACATTTGGCAATGGTAAAACATCACATCAACTTTGATGAACAGAAACCCATGTTACCAAGACCATGCAAAACTTTCTTCCTTGTTACCTTGGATCTTTTGTTCATGTGCACAATACACCAGCATTGAGGTGGCATTAACATGCTACATGGTAATGCTTACATTTCATGCCTATTACCAATATATCACATGCCTCTATATAACTTGCACACAGTATCCCAGTCTTTCTTCTCAAGCCCACTAATGCCATTCATTTCTCATTGCCCATGAATCCGCATATATTCTAAACTCAGGTCAATTGTTTTTTCTGCCTTGATTGAGGTAGCATTGGTTTACAGCATCAGAAATCATTTAAGTGAATAGCTTCAAACCTCCTCAAATATATGCTATGACACCATCCTCCCCATCAAAGCACTCATTAGCCCCCCTCCCCAACTGTGTGTGCATTCACATCCTCCCTCTCCCTCTAGCAGTCTTAATTTTGCAGTTAGTTCTAGGGTTTGTTTTGGTTTAGTTTTGTTAGTTCCATTTTCCCATCTCTATATTCTACTTATACACACACACACACACCCACAAATGTAATATTTGTCTTTCCCCTGATTTCATTTAACATAATTCCCTCTTAATTCTATCCATGTTACTGTAAATGACATGAGTTTATCTTTTTTGATTGAGTAATATTCCATTGTGTATAGCTATACCACATCTTAATTCACTGCTTTGTCAATGGGTAGTTCGGTTGTTTCCATAACTTGGCACTAATAAATAGTGCTGCAGTGAAAATAGGAGTGCATCTATTCTTTCAAATCAGTGATTTCATTTTCTGGTAAATACCTAGGTGTGGAATTGCAGGACCACATGGCATATCTATTTTTAGTATTTTGAAGGAACTTCATATTCTTTCCATAGACTGGACCATTCTACATTCCTACCAAAGGAGTGCAAAGATTCCTTTTTCTCTGCATTCTCTCTAACACTTGTTTCTGTTTTTTTTGATATGAGCCATTCTCATTGGAGTGAAGTAATATCTCATGTAGTTTTGGTTTGAATTTTTCTGATGATTAGTGATGTTGAAAATTATTTCCTGGGGGTCCTCCCTGATGGTTTAGGAGTTAAAGAGTGCTATCAAGCTATGGCCAGCCAATGAAGCAATTCAGTCCCAGGCCAGAGAGGGAGCTGGCCCACCTGGCACAGCAGTTCTCTCTTGTCTTGTTTGCTGCTTCCCCTCAGCAGTGTATTTCATTATATCTTCCTGTTTTGCTTCCTACTCTGTCTCTGGAGAAGCCTCTCTCCACAACTCCCCCCACCACCACCACCACACACACACATATCTGGCCTACACCCAGATTTTGTATACATAAATAAATCTTTAAAACATGTTTTGTTGTTATTATCATTTAGGCCACTTCTTTTTCTACACAAAGGGATGATGAGTTGGTATACCACTTGAAGCTCTCCTTCAAATGGAAAGATTTTCCCTTGTGGCTTTTAATGCCATTCTTGACTGCAGCTATAAGTAAATAGCCCATAAACTACATTTGTATTTTTCTTTGCTTTTCATCTGTCCTGTACATGTATAGGTATGATCTGAGAGACAAGATCTAAAAAGCAGTGATAGATGAGATGGGTGTCTGGGTTGCCTATTTATTGCAACCCTCTTGAGTCCACTCATCCTGTACTTGTTTAATCCTAGATATACTAATTCCATCTTTCAATAGATTACTGCTGCACCTGCCTGATGTTATGACTTAATAGGTCTGGCATAACCTCAGCTTATGATCAGCACTTGTAGACACATGATGGTTTTTGCCACACAGGTGCTTCATTTTTTATCAGATACAACACATTTCTCACTTTTTCAGAATGTGCCTAATTCTCCATTGAAAATGGCATGGCCTTACTCTAAACCTGACAATGCCCAAGTTTTGATTGTCCTATAGGGGCTTATAGTAAGTTTCAGTGTTCAACTGCTACCTCTAGAAACTTTAACCATGCCTGTTTCATACTGTTGCAGAGTTCTTTTCTGCTAATAGCCTTTTGAGACACTAAGTCAAATCAGTAGTACAGTTAGGATATACCATGTCCAGGATCTGAAGAGGCCTACAAGGAATTATGCTTCAAGTTTGGGAAATTCAGGATGTAATAATTTGTCTTTTTCTTTGGGTAAGATAACCTGGCATGTCTCTGATCATTGGAACTCTGAAAATATTATTGATGTGGCATCAGTTATCCATCCATATTTGGTCCAAAAGACTGGATCTATTAAGCAACTCCATTACTCTCTGAAGATCAGGCCTCCTCTGGCTGCCTCTTGATTCAACCTTAACAATTATAACTATGTGCACCTGGCTTCTGTGTGCGTGATAGGTTTATATATAATATATAACATGATTTATATGTAGTATTAGAGTTTATATAAGTATAAACTAGACAATAGGAAATGGGCAAGATGAAGCATACTACTTCAAAGTGACCAGAGGAGACTAATGTGATACATTGCATTAATATGACTGAAGTTTAAATTTATTTAATTTTAATTAAAATTTATATAGCTACATGCAGTTAGTGGATACAGCATTTGAAAGGTGAAGCTCTAAGTTTCAATTTATCCTCTCTAAATGGCATGATAATATCAAATTGTTGACACAGGGTTCAAATGACAATATATGTGACCTCTGTAAAAATCAACTGTAATACACAAAAATATTTTCATAATTTTTATTTTCTTAAAGAGGATAACATTTGGAATTAAAGAAAAATGTAAATAAACTGCCTCAAAAAGAACCCCCCCACCCCCACCCCCAAAAAATCTATTTTTCAAAAACAGCTTGGCATTCAGAGAGCAAAGAAAGACAAAGGCATCCTACAGAGTTTGACTAAATCCAACACTTTCTTCAGGAGCCTGAATAGACCTTTTTCAGGAGATTCTCCCTTGTCACACCTTTCCCCTTGCCCCACCCCCCCAAGAGTTACCAGAACTCTTCTCACACTGTATGGAGGGGTGGTGGAGGAAAGTGCATATTCTTCTATGACTAAGAGCCGCTGCCTCTTATGCCCGTGATGCGTTCTTTGGGTTTAGTCAACTGCCCGCACACAATAGGTCATCAATCAATATTTGTTAACTTGTTAAATGATTAACTTACGCTTACTAATTTTGTGGAACAGCGCAGTTCGTTGCGGAAGAAGTGAATGAATAAACAGCGCAATTGGATATCCTTGGTACTAAGAGTTCTGCCAGCTATGACCTCTTTGGCCGAATTCCTCCCACCGGTTTTCAGGATGTAGAGGACCTGGCGATCCCAAAGTCGCGACTGTCATTTGCGTAGTAGTGGAGCCCAGAGGGACGCGGACAAAGAACTACATTTCCCAGCTGACACTCCTGCGCGCGCCCCTGCCCGCGCGTGGGGGCGAGTGCAGCAGGCGCTCGCTCCCAGTGGAGCGCCGATCGTTCGCCAGAGCTTTTGCGGAGCGATGAGGTGGGAGGCGCTAAAAACCACTTAGCTACAGCCAACCGCCCAATGCAGCACTGGCTCGCTCCCCCCGCCAGCGGAAGCGCCCGCGGAGCACAATGCAGCACTGAGGCAGCGCCGCGGTGGAGGCTGCAGAGCGGCGGCCGCCGCAGCACCCGCCGGGGCTAACAGGGGCGGCCGAGGACAGCCGGGGCGGGGTGGCGCGGGGCGAGAAAGACGGACCCTGCTGCCGGGGCATGAGAAGCTGAGCGTCTGGAACTAGGCGGGCTGACGGCAGCACCATGCAGGCGGCGGCGGCGTTCGTGCCTTTCTTGCTGCTCTGCGCCCTGGGGACCTGCCCCCTGGCGCGCTGCGGGCAAGCAGGTAAGTTCTCCACCCTCTGTGGTTTCGGGACATACCATTTTCTGGGAATCATTGGAATCCTAGGCTCATTAAAAAGGGACATCCTCATTTCCCGAGTGCGCGGGGAGATTTTTTATTTGAGGGTGATGAGAAGTGGAGCAAAAATACATGTGTGGGGGCGCGCGGATGCTTAGAAGCCTTCGGTCAAATGCCTGTTTTTCTTTGCAAGAAGAGGATTGCGGAGGATGGGAAAGGGGTGCTCTTTTTCTGGGCCCGGATCCTGGATGCTCTCAGATGGGTTGGTCCGAGGCTCTTAGGCCGGTGTCTCTGTGCCCTTCCCTCGAGGCCGGGGAGGGAGGGCGCGGTGGGATTTTCGTAGGGGAGGCGTCGGACCTCAGGATGGCAAAGTGTGAGTCAGGATAATTATTTTTGCCTTTTCTCCCCAACCCCACCTTACTCCCTTCCTGCCTGGAGGAGAAGCCTCGTTGACTGAGCTGGATAGAAGGAACGAAAATCGTTTCCTAGAGCGCCAGAGCATCGTGCCACTCCGGCTCATCTACCGCTCAAGCGGCGAAGACGAAACCTGGCACGACGCTCTCAACACGAGGGTGCGGGGTGACCCTGGCGGCAGGCAGGTGAGAGGCGCGGTCCGGAGGGTGGTCCTCTGCACTGTCTGGCCCACCCACGACCCTAACTTTGCTCTCGGTTGCTCTGGAGATGCAATGCCTTCGGTATAAAGAGCGCAATCCGAATGTGAGTCGTACTCGGAGCTACCTATGCACAAAAAGAAGGGAAAAGAGGGACAACACCCTCCCCACAAAGAACCACTCCAGGGGTTTTGCTAGAGACTAGTTTGTGCGATGCTTCCCGCAGTGCAGCAACCTGAGTGTAGGGGTGGAGACCTCTCACCTCTGTCAAGCAAAGGCCAGGCATCCGCACTAGGGAATATACTTGGCAGGATTTCCATCGTTGTTGTTTTAACCCTCAGACGACTTTATAAGCGATTTAAAGCAGTTTGGTACTGTAGAACACCACGTCTACAGTACCAAAGAAGTCTGGACAGCTCTAATTAACTACAAGCTCTAAAAATAACCTAAGTCGCAAAAGTTTTCAGTTCAATTTGTGGACTCCAGAGTCGTGCCAGTTCACCTCCACCTGCCCGAAAAGGTGTCTCCCTGTTCCTTTCCTCACTGGTAGTAGTTACTTTGGTGTAATTAGGAGCATTTTGTTTATTGGACACTTTTAAATTTTGGTTTTAAAGATCTAAACTTACCATTTACCCATATTTAAATTTCTGTTACACATTCACAGACGTGTCTACGAATTATTTTATACTTACTCATAAACTTCAGTAAATAATTGGGGTTTTGTGGATTTTTTTGTTTGTATTTATTTACATCAGCCAGGCAGCCAGTTCACTTAGCTGTAAGTAGTAATAAGGTAGACTTTGTTAATGTAGTTGAGAATTTTTGTAAACTGCACATAGCAAATGAAGATTGAACATTTTCACATGTATAAATATATCCATGTATCTTGATGATGTGATAGTTACACTAAGTTATCTCTGTGTAAAATGTATAAAATAGAAATATATGATTTAAATACATATAGCCAAGTTCTTAGTTCTCTTCTCATGTTAATATTAAATAGAAATTAATGTAAAAGGCTGCATTAATACTCATCAAAATTAGATTATAGTAGTAGAACTACCAATATGTAGTAAATCTAATATGTAATAGGAAATCTAATATGATAGTCTATTAATGAAGAATTTTACTTGTGTTAAATTTTACTAAATACTGGTTTCTCTTTTCCATTTCAACTTGTCCCCAGGGTAAAACTGAAAAGACAGGGGACACAGTATCTCTGTCTTATATTCCAATACATTAAAATTATTTCTGTAGAGGAATAGTTTCACACCTATGTACAATGTTGACTTAAAAATTTCAAAACCAGGCAAAAGTAGAATGTTGCAATGAATTAGTTTCATCTTTTCCGTCAATTAGCAATTCATGGCCAAGCTTGTTTTGGGTTTCATCTACCTTTTCTTTCTCTTAGTGTATTATTTTTAAACAAACTTATCATTTAATTCACTTAAAAACATGTATTCTAAAAGGTAACAATTCTTTATAAAAAAAGTAACATGACATCATATCTAATATATAAAAATATACTGTACATTTCTTTGTTTGGTGAAGGGCCCAAATAACATCTGTAAACTGCAATTACTTTTTTTTTAAAAATCTCAATAATGCATGATTGCCCTCATTCTTTTTTTTTTTTTAAAGATTTATTTATTTGTACATACAGAACTGGGGTACAGGCCAGAGGCTCAGGGGCGGTGAGAGGCCTCACCAGAGACAGAGTGGGGAGCAGAACAGGCAGATCGACGAAGTATACTGCTGAGGGGAGCAGCGGGCTGGTCAGGAGAGGTCTGCCAGGCCACGTGGTCACCTTCAGGGCAAGTGGGAGTCAAACTCATGCAGAAGTGGCTTTTAGTTTGTTAGTGCTGTGCTTTAACCCGCTGGCCACCAGGGAGGGCCAGCCCTCATTCATTTTTTTTTTGTTTTTTTTTTTCCTTACAATTTACTCAGTGAAGACATGGAATCTTTCACCCTGTAGAGTTTCCCATTTTCTGAATTTTGCTAATATTGCCAGTGCTTTGACATAAATCACAGACTTTATGGGAGAAGGAAGTGAAGATAAAGAAAATTGTAGGACTAGGCCTGAAAATGCCCAGGTCTACCTTATGCTGGTAAGGTACCTTCTGCTCTTCTCTGTGCTGCTGACAACAGCACTTTGGGGAAATAGGCCAGTCATTTTCTTCCTATTTATGAAATATCACTTCTGCATTTCATAGGTCTCTTTACTTGAGTCAGAAGATACCTTGGGGCCTTACAGCTTTTACTATTACAACAATAAACCTCAGATGAAAATGACTGGCTTTTGGTGAGGAATTAATGATTTATGTGATTTAAGTTAACACATGAACAGATTACTAACTCAAATCAAAATTGTGTTGTCAAAGTAATTTCACCAAAAAAAAAAAAAAAAAAAGATCCAGTGCCTAGCATTTAGTAAGGCACACACAGTAACTGGTTGGATGTCTAGATTATCTGGAAAGTTTTTGTAGTTCACCAGCATTCTTAAACTACAATTAGAAATTGTTGATGACTAGGACTGAATCCAACAATGAGTTGTAAAGACGTAGTTGCCATGAGCTAAATTTCTCTAAAATCAGGAAATTAACAAAAGAGTTTTCCTACATTTTGACAACTCTGGCTTCCTTCAGAACTATCATTAGATTTCAAAACATAAGTCAATTACATATGGTCCTTGATTTTTCTTTGGTAGCTAATTTATGGCATCTTGGTTTATATTTTAATAATTCCTTCTCTACAAATAAAAGTAGGATAATTTTCTGTGAATTAAAAAAAATGTCCATCATTTTTTGACTTAAGCAAGGTGTTTATTTGTTTGAGTTCCTACAGTGTGCCAATTTTTGTTCAAGGCTTGGGGATTTATAGATAAAAGACACAGTTCCAGTCTTTAAGCACTCCACAGACAAGTGGAGAGATGGATGAGTAGGTAAGTAGTTATACTTTTCCCTGCTGTGGATTTACTGAAGGGGATCACAGACAGCTGTAGTAGAGGAGACTCAGTACCACTTATCAGGACCAGGGCAGGGGAGATGAGAGGAGACAGTCAGGGTGGTCTCTCAGCAGGACATGCCGGGTAAAATGTGTTTTGAGGGTAAATAGCAATTAGGCAAATTAAGGGAGTGTTAAACACTTATAACTATTCTGGATTGTAAGGGAGTAAGGTATATCAAACTGAAGGGATATTGAGCGTATTGGCACATGAGAGAACATATTTTTGATAACTACACATAGTTGGAATTTAAAGGACAGATGAGCTAAAACGGGAAGCAGAGGGTAAACACTAGTATTTTCACAACTTGCTGAGATGGACTTTGTGTTGAAGGCAATGGAGGAAGTAACTAGTTATGTGTTATTGTAGGATAATCCTAATTCTTATAAATGGATAATTTTAATTTTGAAGACGAAGTGAATGTGGTAAAGGCCAGTTCACATACTCATTTAAGTTTCCTCAGAACTTAGTTACTAAGGTACAGAAAACATTATATGGCAATGCAAAGCACCTATAACCACCCTGGATATACGGTAAATAATATGAGTTTTTATAAAGTAAATTAACCCCTCAGGCTGCTTCAATACTATTAGAAATTTTATGATAGCAGTTCAGTGTAAAATGGTACCCTAATTACCTGTGTTTAACACATTCCCACAAATAAGTTACAAATTACTCCAATTTACATCAAGTGGAATCAAACTATCCTAAGAGATGGAACAGATTGCATAGGTCATTTTACCCAATTTAGGAATCACTTCTTACATGATGAGAATAAGCTTTTGAAACCAGCAATGAATTAGTTAATGTTTTAGATTACTTGTAAGAACTGTGATGGTATGAAACATAATTTTATCCATGATATGTTCTTGTTTGTTTTCATTCCTACCTGGAACAAAAGACACTTTTCAGTAGAAAATTTCATTTTCTGTAGAAATCTGCCAATTTGATTTGTATAAAATAATAATTTTGTTGATATGAGTCCACATTATAAAACTTTCTGCATGACCAGTTACTTGAATGCATATCTAATGCCGCATGAAAGGCTAATTCATACTGAAAGCTCATTATGCTACACAGTCCTAAAAATCATATTTGATAATGCGTAACCTTGTTTTCCTCATGGTTGCCTACCTAGTTGAAATAATTCCATTGTTGTAAAATAGTACTCAGAACTAGAGTATTCATAATATTGAGTCTTTCTTATCTAAAATTATTTGTGCTGAAGGGCTTACATGTTTTCAGGTAGAAGGATAAAGCATATATTTTAACTGGACACCCATATGGACAAGCTGTCATCCATGATTTGATCTGATAATCATGTAATTGCTGCTTTGTAGAATAAGTTCCTTAATGAGTACTACTTTTTTTTTTCACCTATCACAGATATCCTGTTGCATCAAAGATGGGTTATTTAATAGTTTATCTTATTACTTAGTCATCCTATGAATTTTCAGTATTTTTTTCCACCTATGAGTATATCTATCTACAAAGAATAGAATTTCTTTTTGTGAGAGTCTTCTTGTCAGTACAGGCTTACTGTTTTTCTCTTTCCCAGAAAGTGATAATTTCTTCTGAAGTAGTCATGTGTCAGTGATGTAGATCTACAATTTATCATAGTTATGATAATCAGTAATGAGTATAGAAAATGCAAGATGGTAGCAAAATACCAAGCAGTAGATGTGTTCCATTTTTATGAATATATGTATACATGTGTTGACGCATGGATGAGCTGTACTTAAAAATGTGCTATTTCACTTGGGAGCATAGAGTCAGCTTAGCAGCAAATTGCATACTGCTTCCCTGGTGGAGATGGGCTCCTAGAAATTACAGCCTTAGAAGTATTTTTCATGGATAGCACAAACTTTTTAAAAATGTGTATTTGTTAAAAGTAGGTAACTCAGTTTTGATAAAGTTTTGCCACTAACCAAAACTTTGCTCAACTGCTTGTAAATAAGAATATATTGCCCAGCGCAGTTCTTCT